ATACTAAAATAAAAATGTTTAATATAAAATAATTTAGTATATAATAACTTTTGCACTTATTGAATAAACTAAGCATATTTTTTAATTGGTTTTATAATAACTTACCCTTTTCTAAGCTTTTGGCTAATGACTAATTTTTTGAGATCAACAAAAATACAATAAATTGTTAATAAATGTTTTATAAATATAATTAAATTATATAGTGCATAAAACGTTAAAAACATTTAAAATTTTCACAGCACAAATATGCTCTCAAATTAATAAAATTTGAATGAATGGTTTAAAAAATGGATTTTTTTTATTTCGTTATTAATGAGTGATCGTATTTTGTATAATAATGAATTATAGAGTTTCATTATTTACAGACGTACACAAACAATGTAGCTTTGCAAAAATATCAATTCATATTCGAATAACCCTGTCCATTATCAGTTTTTAGCATTCGGTTCAGAGCAAGATTTAAATAAGACTTTCAAGGTTACAAATTAGAATTTCATTATCATACCGAACTCTGCGAGAATACTTCTTTGCAAGTAATAAAGCAAACACAATTTTCTATTGTTAGGCATTTCGGAATAATTGATAGATTTCGTCATGCGTGAGATCTAAGATTTGAAAAGCATTTTCTAAACTATTTTCGATGCTTCTCTTTGCTACTTCAATACTAAATTTACTATCGCCGGTCAAATTGTCTGTCTCAAACTTTGACATTTTTAAACGTTGAAATGTATTGTCAAACTATATGCCAATTAGTACCGTATCGCAAAAAATTGAAAATGAAAATTTTTATATATCTTTACATTTCTAAAGATTTTGGCATACCTCGGAAAAACTGGATGTATGGGTGTATTCGTCGACGATTTCGGAAACACGAATCATACGATTTGAATAGTTAAAAAATCATTCGATTCATAATTATAAGGAGACGTGCTGATTAGTTTTTGGCAAATGTAGGTCTAGCCGTTGCCAAGATACGGGGCAAAAGAGCCAAAAATGGTAATTCAGTTTTTGAGAGAACGGAGCGTCGATTTGAATAATTCAAAAAAACATTTTACTTGTATTGACAAATTAAAGTACCGTTTAAATTTTTGCGAAGGCAGCTGAAAAATAATCATTAGACATATGCACATCAAATTATTATATATTTTACAGAGATTTTAATAATAAGTATGAATTTTAACTACATTTCTATGGGTTCGTACCAATGTTTATCCTTTAGATTGCGTTGCGGCACTTCGATATTTATTCTCTAAAACAGCTATGCAGTATTATTGCTTTGAAAAAAGTTCAGAATTTTCAAAAAAATTCAGAGTATAAAAAAAATCGAAATATATAAAAGAAATCAATTTTTTCAAAAATTTCAAAATTCTCCAAATCGCATTTTTTTCAGTTTTCAAAAAAATTTAAAGGTTTTCTCAAAATTTTATTTCTCGGTACAGAAAGTTTCGGCAATTTCATTTTTTTCACAACTTCACAAATTAGATGAATTCATTTTGTTTTTTCTCCTTGAAGCGATTGTTTAGCCAGCCCTGACTGAAGATTTATAATTTAAGTTTTGATTAGTGCACGTCGACAAACGCCTACGCCGGTGACATGATAAGTGATTTCGAACCGCACTAACACACATAATATAATATAATGCAAGCGGACAAAGTCTGTTTCTCTTTAAAATTCAAAACACCTTTATATTTCTCTGCGGTGTGTACTTGATAAAATCAAAGACGATTTACAATAGATACATCGAAATACACTGTATTATTCTTCTCTGTCTCGTCATAAATTTAAAATTATGAATAATTAGCATTAAACTTTATTCACATCGAATATGATCTAGGGTAGTGTTCGGCCAAAATGATCAAAATTTTTGTGAAAGGATAATGGGTATGGATGAAATCTACAAAAATATAGATACATAAACAATATACTTTACAGTACAATATTCTATTGTATCTGTTTTTTATATATTACGCAAGAATTAATTGCTAAGAATTAACTACTAATGTTCAACTTATAGCAAAACAGCAAACAAAGTAATCTATCTGTATACAAGTAACGGTTATTCTTTAAAAGCAATGTGGTCTACAAATCATGTTATGGTAGGGCGCCGACTGAAAGCGATAATGGGAACTTGTTCAAACAAACATACTACATGTTTCTCCCCTTGAACTCTTTTTCAAAATCAGTATAGTTAAATTGAAATTTAAACTATTCTCTAAGGGGACGTCTTAAAAATCACCTGACTCTTAAAAGGGGGGAGGGTTTTACAAATAATCACAAAATATACCAAGAATGGGTTTCATTATGATATCACGTGTATTGATTTTTTACCTGAATTTTTTAAAAAATCCAAAATTTTTCAACAGAAGTGATTAATGGGCGGCTCTTAACTGTGCAGTATGGTTAAAAAGAATAAAGATGATAAGAAAAATAAACTAGTGGGCTGCATGGCATCGTACCTTAAGGAAAATTGCTGGAACTTCCCGTACCGTATTTAAAAATCTTGATCCGGAAACCAAAAAAATTTACACGAAATGTGTACACATTATTAAAATCTCTATAAATTGATAATAATTTGATGTACATATGTCCAATAAACATTTTTGACCGCCAAATGACATTTTTTTAACTTATTTTTATTGAGAGTTCATAACCGCTGGACCTGCCTTCGCAAAAATTTAATCAGTTCTTCATCTTGTCAATAAAAGTAAAATGTTTTGTGAATTGTTAAAATCGGACGCTCCGTTCTCCTAAAAACTTTGTTACCGGTTTTGGCACTTTTTGCCCCATAATATTTTATGATGATCTTCAAAAGTCTTGAATTAAGACTTTTGAACCATGTACTCATCACATCATTCAATTATTATTAATCATCACAAAAAATTTCATCAAAATTGTAAAAAAATTAACAATTAATTGCGAAAAAACGATTCGGCCGAAATTTACCAAAAACTTATCAGCACATTTTCCAGCTTATTTCTTTCGAACAGTTTTTTATTTCCTAAAATTGGTGCAGTAATTTAGCTAAAAAGTAAACGACAAATTTTGTTTCTAACGTAACACATTTATTAACAAATAAATAAATAGAATCTATGATAAAAGTTTAAATGCAATTATAATTGTGTAATGTGTAAATACTTTATTGCGCCTCTGATTTTCTATCTCTATAAACATGTCACATGAATGTTTTCTCGGAATAAGAAGTTTAATACTAAATTCTTATCGACCAATCATTTCAAAACAACTCTAAATATATGAGGTTAAATAATAGAGAATTATACTTAATCAATCGGCTATCAGTACCTCGATTTACAAGATCCATTCAACATTTGGCTCAGAATTGTGTATACGTTCACAGCTTTTACAAAATTTGAATTGTTGTTGTTGAAATATTATAAATAATCACAGATGTCAAATTTAAATTCTATTAATTCTATAATATAAGAAAAAATTTATTTTAAACCAAAAAGAAGAGTTGGTTCTAAATTAAATTGTCCATCTTGTATCTTTTAGTACAAATAAAATGATAAGTAAACTTGAGCATTCTTTCATGTATTTATTTTTTTAATGTGGTTTTCTTGAAATGATTTTCTGAATTTCCTGTGTGACATTTATCTCACCACATCTATGTACGTGCTCTTCAGTGAATTTTCCACATCCAACTCCTTTGATTTTATCTCAAAGATATTTGTTTAAAATTTAGTTCGCCTAATCAAGATCAAACATTTGACTCTACAACAATTCTGTTGATATGCGAACATGTTATTCTCGGCATATAGAGTTATTTATATTTCAATCAAAAGCTGTTTTATTTTTGTTGCATTAGAACCGGTTATGGTATAAATTAATATCTAAGCATTAGGATTCGGGGAATAACGACTAGCGCGTAGTTATACATTGAAATGATATATGATTTACCATAAAATTTGCTTAGAAATTTCATTTACCATGTTGTGTCGCTTTTAGCAATCAAAGTTAAGTCGAATATGTAATGAATTTTAATATGAATCGTAAGAACAATATGAATACCAGGAATCTAAGTTGTGGCAGCTCAATCATACGGGATTTTTTTTATGTTTTCATGGGATTTACAAAGTGTACCTTATAATATTTAATATAATTATAGATTAAGCTCTTATATTGTTTTAATTTATATATATATATATATATATAATTTATATTAATGTACATTATTAGAAACTAATATAAAATAAACTAAAGCCGGTATATGATCAGAAACTTCGAAGTTTAGATTTAAAGTCAAACAGTATTTAAATTGTTATGATTTTTAAATGTGATCAGCTCTATAATAATAACCGAATCGCGAATAATAACCGATCTAAATTTTATTTCATATGTCATGCTACTGAATTATCAAATACAAGTTCTTAAATATCTTTATAAACTATCGATCTACCAAGAAAATGATAAATCATTCAATAGAATTTAATACGAATTTTTGAATTTATAAAAATTTCTTTAACAAGTATTGCTGCTGTACTAAGAGTACTATTGCTCTAAATTTAAATGCAAGAAATGCCAAATTAACATTCAATTGATACTACTACTCAAGGTTTGATAATAAAAAAGTCAATAGATTTGTGAAATCAGCAGCAAAAATAACTAAAAATGCTTTACATTATAATCAAACATTTTATGAAAACGTTATATTGTTTTAAAATTTTAATACTTATAGAAAACGGTATACATATATACTGTTGAATATATACAATTGAAAAAAAAGAATAAAAATAAATTGGTTTATGGCAAATATATTATTAATTGTATGATATAAAACGTTTTAAGTACCTGCATATAAAATTTTGCAGGGTAGTATTTTTAAATGTACAATGTAATTGTACATAAATGTATTTTAGAGAAAGAATGTTATTAATTAATTTATTATCGACACATATTACAATAATCGTGATGAGCGCGAAAAAGAAAAGTTTATTAAATCGAATATATTTTTGATATTGCCCAAGGAATTTATATTATCTTACCTTCACCATTCGTCATTGCTCTATTATGCAAAACTTGGTCCAGACTAGGCGCGTCCCTGGACTTATTAGTACCAGAGCCATCATCCGATCCTAAATATTGGTATATCGTCACAGGTCCATGATACTGTGTTAAGGGTCCTATGACAACATCACTAGAATTGTTCATATTAATTGTAGGCATAGAAGGAACATGAGTCATATTGTCCACTAAATTCACAACCCCTAAATTTGCACTGGTCCCGGTCGACCTCATGGCCGCCGCGGTATCTTCGTTATTATTTGTAGAAACCTCCATTTTTTTATCACTTGTTTTTATTTCTTTATCGCATTGTATCATTAATTATATTATATTTATTTTGTGATGGTGATATGAAAATTTTAAATTATTCTAATGCGCACGACGAGCGCACCATGTGCGTTCGACATGGAAATGTGTATCTTATGGTTAGCGAATAACAAACGTGCACTTGCACATATTATAGAACTTTTAAAACTTGTTCCTCTGTTTGGTTTTCCCAGTCGCGTCTACAACAGGTAGTTGTATGTATGCGATATTCAAATTATTATAATGAAGATCGGTTTTGCGACCATACTGGTCAGGCGAATTATTGTAGTCAATAGATGCGCAGTATTCATTTATACAGTAATTCATATAATTTCATAATGATAAATAATCTCATCGTTAGCATAAAAATTAATCGCATGATGATAGCATGTAAATGAATGTGGGATCTATCGGTTGATTATGGTTTAACGAGGTTTTGGTACTAACTAGACGTATATATGAAAAAAATTGAGAATTAACATTTAATGGTTATTAAATTTACTATATAGGCTAAACCTACGTATGTTGGTTAATGAACAATAAATACAACAACACTTCAAGCAACGATTGAACCATGTTCAAAAAATTGAATGAAATTGCAAATAATTCCTAATTATATAAATATTTTAAATTATTATTTTTCTAAAATTTGTCATCTGATCCTTTTTACCCTATAGACTGGGTAAAATGGGACAACCAGGTGGCAATAGTATCCAATGTATTATATATTCAATTTTAAAAGGATTTTACGAAATAATAGCTACATTTTTCAATCAATACAAAATATAAATTTTATGCACACATTTTTTACACTGTATATAGCAGTTTTACACTGCATACAATATATATAAAAAACTTATAAAGCCATTAAATAACGTGTACATAAAAGTTTTATTAAGGTCTTGTAAAGTAAACAACAGGCGGCATGTCAATATAAGCGAAGTCAATATATCCGACTGTTTTTTAAGTAATTTTATATGAAAGCCAAACTTCTTAGTACGATTACGTCAATATAAGCGGTCGGTCAATATATCCGGCGTCATACTAAGCGGATTTTACTGTATATGAATGAGATACAACCGGTTGTAAGTGGCATTTTGCATTAAGACAAGTTGTATGATCGTGATCTTCCAGATATGTGTAAATAATCAACTTCATCGCAAAGATTTTAAATTTAGCAACTCTCAAGATTGTGACGATGCAACTTTGAAAATTTGATGTAACCTATTATTTCAATCTTTAGTGAATTTTTGTAAATAAACTATTTTTGTGGTTCCATAACACAGATTCAAAAAATAAAAAAGATGTCTACATTGGATGTACGGCCTAAGTTTTTCAGTGTAGATTTAAACCTTGAACCCGAATCTAAAGTCAAAACACAGAGAAAAATAAAAAAAAAACAAAATCTCCGATCTAGTAATTCTTCTGCATGAAATAAATCTTATAATGTCTGTCGTTTCCTTTTCACTTTAAATGAGCTTTGCAACTGATTTCTGCAAAGCGCTTTCGTCTTTATTGAGTTTCTGTTTGTAGAATCCAGCAAATATATTTTCAAATAACTGTTAATATTTTTACAGGAGCAATAGGTAACAAATCTGTTTGCAGATTGCTGCTGGATTATACATCAAGAAAATCAATAAAGATGAAAAATGCATTGCAAAAGTCTGTAAGGAAACTTGATCAATCGTCTCACAAAATAACCAACACGAGTCCCTACAAAGTTTTGTCTTGAATGATTTTTAAATTTTCGAAAAGAATGCAGCTATTTTTGAGAAAACTCTCATAGAAAATACTACATGCTCATACTTTTTACAACTTTGATATAAAAGATTTCGTATGACTTAAAACGTTTTTCAAAATTCGTGTAGCATTATTTTATTTACAATTTTTTCATTCCGTTTGAATTATATAATGATTACACCAAAGAAATCAAAATGTTATTAAACAACATAAAGTACTGAAGGTATATATGTAAATATGAAAGCGCATTTGAATTTTATAGGGCAAACAATGTTTTGGCAAGAGCATTTAAAATATTTACTTAAATTTATGATTAATATAAAAAAAATTATAAACTAGTTTGACTTAATCAACTTTTCCTAGCTTAAGGTATAGTTATCGCAAAATAATCGAAAATGATAATTTTTGCATATCATTACGTTTTAAAGTCTTTTGAACATTTTGGGATACCTTATGTATGTATAAGCGGATACAAATTTTGTCGATGATTTCGAGAGCACAGATCAACCGATTTGAATGATTCAAAAAACATTCGATTCGTATTGATCGGAAGACGTTCCGATTAGTTTTGGGTAAACCCAGGTCCTGCAATTCCAAAGATACGAGACAAAAAGTGCCAAAAGTAGCAATTCAGTTTTTGAGAGCATTCAGTTTTTTTCAAAGAACATTTCACATGCATTGACGGACAGAATAATTGGTCATTCGGTGGTGAAAAATGATCAATTTGACATATGGGCATCAAGTTATCAGATATTTTATAGATATTTGAATGATAAGTACAAATTTTATTTACATTTCTATTGGTTCCGTACCAAGATTTATAATGTTTCGACATTAGACTGCGACGCGACGCTTACGCGCTTCGATAATTCGTCTTTAAAACAGCTATGCAGTACGATCACTTTGTTACAAATTTATATCTTTTCGTGGTTTTTAAAAAAAGTATGTTTTTCAAAATTTCAAAAAAAAAATAAATCTTTTAAAAATTCCAAATTACAGTGCGGGAAGTTCCAACAATTTGCCTTAAGGCGCGATGCCGTGCTCCATTAGTTATACCTACTTTTCAAAAAACAGAAATTTTGTAATAATAAAAATATCCTTCTAATAACAATTAAGTTAAGTACAGTAATACCCCGTTTAACCCCGTATCGCAACCCAGGTTTTGAAGGGGCAAATGTGGAAGATGTCGAAGAAATAATTCAAGAAGCAGCGCAGTCTTTCTAATGGTGAGCTCAAAGAATTAACTGAACAAGAAGAAAACAAAAATGTTGACAGCTGAGATTCAGAGGAAGAGCAAAAAGAACTTTCGATGGCATTTGTAAAAAGGAGTTTGCCTGCTATAACTGAAATAATTGATCAATTCATTGAGAATGATCCGAATTTTGATAGGAGCTCTAAAGTAGGGCGCGGTGTTAGAGATGCTCTATCCGTTTATGATGAACTTTTAAGAGAACAACGCAAAAGAAAAACTGAAACAACATTAAATGCTTTTGACTCAAAACGTGGAAGAATAGCTAAATATGACTGGCTTAGAATGTTATTTGTTTTTCCAAGGATTTTCGTTTTGTTATTTATATTTCGTTTTTATTTTTGCAAGAAATAATAATGTGGTATTAATTTGGGCTTTGAGAAATAATTGTTTGGTTTTATTTCTAGTAAAAATAACAAACTTTTTAAATTCAATACCGAACCAATTTCCTAGCCGTCTGTCCCTAACCCCAATATTTCCATCCAAAGATGGCCTCGTTTAGCGCTGTTTTGCATTGCACTCTACTTTCATGGAACGTATCCCCCGCGTTAAACGAGGTATTCCTGTGATTGTTTTCTTCAAAATTTTTGGATGCAACGGTTGTTTTATTCAAAAACATTATCAACGCGACATCTACCATGTAGTAGCGTGAAACATAAATTCAATGGTTCCTAAACAAGGTTTAGACGTTCGCGAATGAATTTTATCTTTAAAAACATAACTAGATGCCTAATCAGTATTTACATTTATTAGTAAACAACCAAATTATTTTTCTATAGACTGTCTGCGATCAATACATAGACAAGTTATTTACTAACATTGCAAAATTTCAGTGTATCTACAAGTGTCTTGTCTGCGGTGTGCGTATTATTAGAATGACAAGATGAAATGAAGTGAACTTTGGATGGCTACTTTATCGGACGTGTAAAGGAATATAGTCGAATACCGAAATAATATTTTCGACACTTTTTATTTGGACTTTGATAACCAAACCTGTTTTTTCAAACCTGGACTACATTATTTCAGTGGATTTTATAGAAATAATACCAATAATATGGCAGCAATAACTCAGGTATTTCAATATTGTTTTATGATATTTTATTAGTATAATAATTTTTGAAATATGTTTTTGCCTTATGTGTATATACGTATGTGTATGTAATCATTAACTGACTAAATATTAAGACTATTAAGTGATAAATTCGGTAGATTTTGAATTACAGTATGGGCACATGTATTTTTTCTTAACTTATACCCCTTGAGAAAAACTACACTGTAAATATTCACACTGCTAAGCAAAATTTTAAAAGTCATAAATGCATCGAGCCAATTGTCTCAATCATCATATATCATATTTTGTACTTTTAGATATAAAATTACATTTTTATCAAAGTACTCATGGTTAATATATACATTTTTTACTATATTGCTTGTAATTTCTTCATGAATTTATATAACATGATAATCAAAATTATATATCAGAATTATTAAAACTTAAATAGCAATGAATCCCTTCTCCTTCCTCGTCTATCATTCCCATTACCACTATTCTCCTTTTTTATATACATTTTTTATGTATTTTTTTTTTTGAAAACTTTTGCTTCTATGCTTCTGCATATTTTATTTTAATTTAGTATTCATTTTAATTTAATAGTTATTAAAAGTCGTACTTTATAGCTTGTTATAGTAATGTAACATTAAAATGTAAAGTAATCTAACATTATATTTTCCGTGTTTTTTGTTTTTACTTAAATTATTTGTATGGTGAGTTAATGCATATTTGTCTATTATTTTTTTAGTTGTATCTTACCTTTATATACAACAACAACATATTTTAGTCTTATAATAAATTTATTACCAGCAACTTGTAATTCTGTAATCCTTTAATGTAGCACTGAACTAATGACCATCTGAAAAAACTTCTTAGTTTATATATATATATATATATATATATATATATATATATACATAATTTATATGTATATATTAATCCATTCATATATGCTTTATTACAAATAAAATATTTTATAGGTTATAAAACAAGCCGTGAGGCCAGGTATACGTGCTTTATCGACAACAGCTAAATTAAATTCAGAACACAGTCTACCAAATGGATATAGTTTTCAATTATCACCAGAGCAACAAGAGATGCAGGATTTGGCTAGAAAGTTCACTCGTGAAGAAATTATTCCCAAAGCCGCTCACTATGATAGAACAGGAGAATATCCATGGGATATAGTCAAAAAGGCCTGGGAACTAGGACTGATGAATGGACATATTCCTGTTCATTGTGGTGAGTACTTTTTTTTTAAATTACTTATGCATTAATAATTCAAAATTGTTGTTTACAAATTTTATTGCCAATCAAATTTTCCTATCCTGGGTGAGCAATAAATTAATTTGTGCTAAATATTGTAGTACATATATTATTTATCTTTTATGTGTTGAAGAAGAAGAGCAGTAATGTGATACTTTTGATGGACATAATTAAAAACACCTGTAAAAGATATGAAATGATATTTGTATTTGATAATGGATTAATTAATATAATTAATCCATGTATGCCAGACCTTAAAACTTGAAATTTTAGGTGGAATGGATATTGGGGTATTTGAAGGCTGCTTGGTAACTGAAGAAATGGCTTATGGATGTACTGGAATATCAACAGCAGTCGAAGGAACAGGTTTAGGTGTAAGTGTTCAACAGAAGTGGCTGAAGAATTTGGTGTAGAACAATTTATTAACAAAATATTATTTTTATGCTGATAATAATGTACAATGCAGCTTGTGTATCAGGTGCCAAGAAATAATGCAAAGCATGGTCCAGGATTATCAAAATTATTATATATATATATATATATATATATAAGATTTAGATTTTTTTGTTTGACGTTAAGACATATTCTTGAATGTTATATTTGCAGCCAATCCTCGAAATAAAAGAACAATAAATAATGACCTTTTTATTTATATGTTTCGACACGGTATGTGTATCATCATTCTGCTTTTTTTTATAATAATACAGTATCTAAAAGATACTGTATATTAACTTTTAGATACTGTATTAATAAAAAAAAAAACTGAATGATGACACATATGGTGTCGAAGCGTATAAATAAATAGCTCATTATTTACTGTTCTTTTATTTCTATAATTGGCTGCAAATATAACATTCAAGATATATATATATATATATATATATATATATATATATATATATATATATTATACTCTATTAAAATTAATTAATTAATAAGGTATATTTATTGCAGGATAGCTTATGTAATGCATTTCAATATATCATGTTTTTTTCCATTTCAAAGCTTATGTGATGTATTTCAATTTCATTTTGCATATCATCAATAAGTTAATTAATAATATTCATTATAAATTTTTAACATTGTCTGTTCTTGCTTATCTTAGGTGGTTTAGATTTGGGTGTTTTCGATGGTTGTATGGTTGCAGAAGAACTTGCTTATGGTTGTACTGGAATTATGACTGCACTTGAAGGCAGTGGCCTTGGTGTAAGTTTTTTTTTTCATTCTTAATTGCACAAACAATAGAAGTATTTTTATTCTTATTACTTTAGTCTTTTTTAATATATCAAGAAATATAAATTCAAAATATTTAGTGTGCAAATGCTGTTTATTTTGATCATTTTTAAAGACTTATGGTCATTATTGTTGAATTGCATAAGCATGTTTAGAGTTCAATTTTTATGTAAGATGTATTTGATTCTTATAACATTTACAGTTTTATTTTTATTAAAGCATGTAAATTTCAAATTCTAATTAAAAGATGATTCTTGTTGACTAAATTAATCAAATGCAGGATTTTACAATTAGGGCCACTGTTCTCAGCCTATGTGCACGATAATAAGTCTCGCCATAACGGTTCTGTTGAATTTAATATATTTTTCATACAATTTGATGAAGTTATTCAGTCCAAATATTTTAGACTTTCATTTAGAATACTAAAATTGTCACTATGTAAAAAAGCATTCATTGCTTTATATCACTGTTCAAATTTGCTTGTTTCATTATATATCATTTATAAATACATTCTGATCATATATACTAACTACACAAAAATGATTAAAAGTGATATTCCAAAACTTAAGGATAAAATATTTTTATTAAAATATATTGAGCAACTTTGTTTTGAATATATTTGTTTGTTCCAAATATTATTAAACTCCTCATAAAATATAAAATGGAGTTTAAAATGAATTTATTTTGGGTTAGATATATGACAAAAAAGTAAAGAATTAATTCAAAAATATTAATTTACCCTTGTGTTTTGTTACAAAGTTGTGAATATGTAGATATTTTTATTTAATTTTTTTTGCATCAATATCTGCACTCATAAAGAAAAAAATGCTTTTATTTTTGTTTGATTTGATCACATTAATTTATTATTAACATATGAAATCATTTATTACAGCAAATGCCGGTTGTAATTGCTGGAAATAAAGAACAACAAAAGAAATACTTAGGTAGACTTATTGATGAACCACTTGTAGCTGTAAGTAATTATTTTAAACTAAACAGTTTCTAATATTTAATAAATAATTATAAATTATTAAGTTATTATTTAATATAAGTTACAAATAATCTTTAATTGTAGGCTTACTGTGTTACCGAACCTGGTGCAGGATCTGATGTCAATGGCGTGAAAACAAAAGCTGTGAAAAAGGGAAACCAATGGGTAATTAACGGTCAAAAAATGTGGATCACGAATGGGGGTGTTGCAAATTGGTATTTTGTATTAGCAAGATCAGACCCTGATCCTAAAGCCCCAGCCAATAAAGCATTCACAGGTTTTATTGTTGAACGCGATACACCAGGACTTACTCCAGGTCGTAAGGTGAGTAGCAAAACTATAATAAAATATTTATTTTTATAATATTGAAAGTAAGGTAATATTTTCTTATTAATTGGCATTACAATTTTGCAGGAGCTCAACATGGGACAAAGAGCAAGTGATACTAGAGGAATTACTTTTGAAGATGTTGTGGTACCAGAAGAAAATGTATTATTAGGAGAAGGACAAGGATTTAAAATAGCGATGGGCGCTTTTGATAAAACTCGGCCACCGGTATGCATTTATTTTATTTAACTTTTAATAAATAAAGTCAATTATGAGTAAATTCTTTAGCTTATATGTGCTTTTTTGATAATGTTAAATTAATTTAAAAAATAATAAATAGTTATAGAAAGTTACAAAGTTATAAAGTTTATTAACAATCTATTCTACATTACAATATTAAAATGCAACATTTTCATTCTGTCCTAACACTGATTTCATATGTAAGATGGGTTTATGATACCAAATTTCTATAGGTATGCAATAATTTTTCTTTTATGAGCTAAAAGCAATAATTTATTGGCTTGATTTATATTCCTGAACGATATTCAAAATTGAATGATATTTAACATTTTGAGATGATTTAGTATACATTTAAATAGCATTGTTGCCCAATAATGTCTAAATAAAAATCAATTGTACATTATGCTAATTTTGGTTATTACAGGTTGCTGCAGGAGCAACAGGTTTGGCACAAAGATGTTTAGATGAAGCTTCGAAATATTCAATTGAACGCAAAACATTTGGTGTTCCCATCGCCAGTCATCAAGCTGTGAGCTTTATGTTAGCTGATATGGCAATTGGAGTAGAAACTGCACGTTTGGCCTGGATGAAATCTGCCTGGGAAGTCGATCAAGGTCATTATAAAAGTATCTAATAAGATTTTAAGTATTTTCAGTTTTTTTGTCTGACAAAATTAGTAAGAGCAAATAACTCTCCTCAAAATTAATTAACTGAATTCATAATGTTTTTTTAAGTCTATTGGTTTTTTATTGGATAAATGCCCCAAATCATAGGACATTAAAATATAGATAATAATATCGGTTTTTGAAGCATTTGAAAAAAATCAAAATAAATGTGTTATGATTGCTACCTACCAAACTATCGCTTTTATACTCTTATTTATATTTTTTAAAGCTGTTATCATTCAGAATCAAACTCAGCTCTTCTCAAATTCTTAATTAAAATTAATAACTTAATAGGGATAGTATATTTTGAAATTACTTGAAAAATTTGGAATATAATTATTTATTTATTTTTTCATTACTGTTTGAACAAGTTGTAATAGAACATTTTTATAATTTATAATAATATTTTATAATTTTTGTTTGATATAGGGCGCAAGAATACATTATATGCTTCCGTAGCTAAATGTTATGCAGCAGATGTGGCAAATAAGTGTGCAACAGATGCCGTTCAAGTTTTTGGTGGTAATGGTTTCAATAGTGAATATCCAGTAGAAAAACTTATGAGAGATGCAAAGATTTATCAAATCTATGAAGGAACTTCGCAAATTCAAAGACTGATCATTTCCAGAGAGATTATTGATAGAGCAAAGAAAATGCTATAATCAAATATATTGTTGTATTATTACATGTATGATATGATAGGCTAAGATATAAATTTATAATATTTTTTAATAATGTGTATTTGCTACTATATAGAAATAAAATTTTATATTTGAATTTTACAGTACTTGTTTTCGTAACGGTTTATAAGTTTTCTTTTAAAAGCGTTGAATGCATTTCTTTATTTTATTGCTATTATAAACAACAACGGTACAAAGGAAAACGAAAGTGATTAAAGATATATATATATATATATATATATATATATATATATATATATATATATTAAGTTAATATATATATATATATATATATATATATATATTATCTTAATTTTTTTTGTTCGATTTCAGCCAAAAAGTCAAAAAAAAAAAAAATATTTTTATTTATTTAGTTATTGTTTGTTTTTTGACTATTATATACATATATTCAACGTCTAAATAGCTGTCGAGATATATATATTTCTTGTAGAGCTTCGAACAAAGAATCCAAAAATTTTGGATTCTTAGTTCGAAGCTCTACAAAATATTTACAAATTCAAGACTCTACAATTATATATGTTTATATATATATATATATATATATATAGATGTTATAGAGCTGGATATATATATCTTATCTTATACATATCTTATATATATATATATATATATATATATATCTAATATATAATAATGTATATAAATAAAACATTAACGGATTAATGAAAATTTCGAAATGAAATGAAATTTTTCGTTTAGATCAAGTTTTGTCAGAATCAAGTTAAATATTAGAATCCCTGATTTTTAACATATTTTCTATTATTTTATGTCTTTAGTTTGTGATGAACTAAACAAATTTTCTGTACATAACCTCAAAATCATATAGAAATCTGTTTAGCCGTAAATGGTTAAGATGATATTATTTCATTACTAAACACATGAAAACTGATTAAATTTAACGAACCTTATAAAAGAAAGTAGATATTAAGTTTTAAATGAATCATTTTACACAAATCATATTAATTCCCGCCATATTTCAAAATCATTGCATTGTCCTATATAACATATTTAATGAGGTCAGCCAATTTTTTTTGCAATCCTAGTGTAAAACAAATCCTAAGAAAATGCTAATCCAAAGAATAATTTAAGGAAAATAGTTACATAAGGAGCAAACAGTTTTTTTTAATATTGCTCAAATGACAGTAACTCTTGACCTACATTTCAATGTTCGTGAGAAAGTATTGCATAATTGTGCGTAATTATGTAAGTACACATTAAATCATTTTCAAGTAATTCATGAATTAAATAAATAATGTAAGTATAATCACAATGAAAGTTCGAAAACTGTGCGCATCTCCATGACTGCTCCAACAATAAATGGGTCAACGTTACGCATAGAACTAAATAATGAAAATATATTTAACATTTGTCATTCAAGTGATTGATTATCGATATAGATTTAAATAAATTGTATTTATTTAGAATTTCGAATTAAATTTTTTATTAGGTTATCCTAAAATCCTGTGATGTAGCTTGTATAACATGACATATATTTATATAGCACACACACAACTATCCCAATGTCAGCTCATGCTCGCAGTCGCTGGCTTGACTTTGTAGTCATGTATGTAAAGTGTAAGTGAGTGGCCTACAGACCTACTTTTCCAAAACGTTCATTTTTATATAACACATAATATTTTTGTAAAGGACCTTGGCACAAAAAACTTCATAATACATCTGTAGTTGTATCAAAGAGCTGGATTTAATGAACAAAGTGCGTGGTGTTTATAATTGTGTGAAATATGCATGAGGAGGCTAAAGGAATGAGCGTTCCGAACTCTGTCGCCAGTTCCACAAGTCAGCAAGACGCTGGGGCTGCGGTGACGGTAGCCTCCGATGAGACCTCGATATCGGCCGTAGATCCCCTTTTGGGAGACGGGGTCCCGGACCAGGCAGACTTAGAAATAAAAATGGCATTCGAGGAGAGCTCGACAGGTATGTCATTAATGTCATCACGCTGCCGCTGTCAGTCTACTGTCACATTCGAAGGGGGAGGGGGAAGCGGGGGGACTACTCCGATACAAATCTATCTAAATGCATAATACGACCTGTCGCTATATTATTTTTATTGCGTTGCCCATAAAATTACCCAAATTAATTTTATTTTATGGCAGTTCATAATAAAATACTCGTTCAAAAATACACATTAACAATATTCCCGTTGTTAATGTCACACTTGCTAGCATTGTTATGTATTTTCCTTTTGGAATTTAATAACATAACCTCTCCCATGCATATATCTGTCACGCTCGTTTTTTCTTTGATAATCGTATTTTCCATTAAGCTACGTAATATGCCATGTGCAATAATCATAGCGCATAACAATGTTTTTTTTATAAGATTCTTATTGAAAGATACCTGTCTGAATGATATAATTTGGCAACATCGATTTATGTCGCTCGTGTTGTTTTGTGTCCAAACAACATAGCAAGTGCGTCATTAAGAACCAGTTCAAATTGTAATCTGCATTTTATTTTGATGGATTTTTTATTAATAAATATAGAAATTAGTGCTGCATGGCATCGCGCCTCAAAAAATAGATTTTTGACATTTTTAAAAATGTTTGACTTTTTTAAAAAATTTGATTTTTTTTATATTTTGAAATGATTTGAATATTTTGATTTTTTTTCGAATCAATCGTGCTGCTTAACTGTTTTAGAGATGAAACATCAATTTTTTCAATTGATCTCCAAAACCGCTGAATATGCCTTCACAAAAAATTCAATCAGTTCTTCGTTTCGTCAGTACAAATAAAATGTTTTTTGAATCATTCAAATCGGATGCTCCCTTCTCTCAAAAACTAATAAAATTTTGTGGCACTTTTTGCCCCGTATCTTCGAAACGGCTGGACCTGTCTTTACTAAAAACTAATCAGCACGTCTCCTTATCAACAGCAATTGAATGTTTTTTGAATAATTGAAATCGGTTGAACCGTGTTCGCGAAGTCGTCGACGAAAATTTGTATCCGCACACACACACACGGATACATCAATTTTTTCTAAGGAATGTCAAAATGTTCAGAAACCTCTGAAACGTAAAAATATATAAAAATTTTCATTTTCGATTTTTTTGCGATTACTATATCTTACCCTATGGGAAGTTAAAAATTTATTTTCCATTTTTTTGCGATTACTATAACTTACGGGAATTTAAAAATATAATTTAAATAAATATTTATTTAAAAAAGAAATTGTATTAATTACTATTGATATTCATAATAGTAACTAAATTTGATGGCTAATATTTCGTATTTTTTACATTCTTATAAGAATGCAAAATTCTGATTTTGAATTTATTTATGCTATAAATGAGAAAAAAAAAACGTTTTAGTTCAAAACGTTACTGATTTATTAATTTTTTGAAGACTTGATTGTTAAAATAAGATCTTAAATGAATGTATTTTATTTAATACCACTTTCCTTTATACATCTCATACAGATTATAGATATTAACTCTGATAAATTTGAATCCAATTGAAATTATTTGAATCTAATTGAATAAATTTGTGACATAAAAATTAGGCTTTCCGTATGTACTAGTTAATATTTTATTTTTTTAAATTAACTGGAGTATATATACATACACGTAAATTACTTTTTTTATGTAATGCAGTTCATATATCAGACTGATTTGTGAGCATGGGTTTCTTGAGTAAATTATTCTCATAGGAAAGATAAAAATTCCTATTTAGAAAATAAATTTATTGATAATTTTAAATTTATCATATTCCGAAATATTATCGTTAAAAAAAAAGAAGTATCGTAATAACAATAATTTAACAATAATTTCCTTAAAGTGTTGATTCCAATGATCCAAGGTTTTTCTATAATATAAAATAGTATTAGACTTTTAGATATAGATTTAGATATTTACATCATAATACTCAATACGTCTTCGACGTTCGATTATGATTAATAATGCCTAATTAACTTTCCGTAGGGTAAGTTATAGTAATCGCTAAAAAATCGAAAATGAAAATTCTTATGTCTTCACGTTTGAAACCATTCTGGACATTTTTGCATACCTTAGAAAAAAAGGATGGCTGTGTGTGTATGTGCGCGCGTGTGCTTGTGTTCGTGTGTGATGTGCGGATACAATTTTTCGTCGACTATTTCAAGAACACGGATCAACCGATTTAAATTATTCAAAATTATTCGATTTCTATTGATATGGAGACGTGTTGATTAGTTTTTGGCCAAGGCAGGTTTAACCGTTTCTAAGATACGGGGCAAAAAGAGGCAAAAATGGTAGTTTAGTTTTTGCGAGAATGGATCATTTTATTTGTATTGACGAAATGAAGAACTTTTAACATTTTTGGGAATGCAGGTCTAGCGGTTTTGGAGATCCAATAAAAAAAGCAAACATGATTATTAGACATGGGTATCAAATTTTCAGATATTTTATAGAAATTCTAATAAGTCTATTTACATTTATATGGGTTCCGTACCAAGATTTATAATGTTTAACCGTTAGACAGCGACGCGGCGCTTACGCGCTCCGAGATTTTGTCTCTAAATCAGCTACGCATCGTAACTGCTTTGAAAAAAATCTAAATTTTCAAAAAATTGAATTATAAAAAAAAATCAAATGTTTCAAAAAAAACAAGAAAAGAATTTTTTTTTAAGTTTTCAAAAAGATGTAAAGTTTTTAAACAATTTAAATTACGATCAACAATTTGCCTTAAGGCACGATGCCATGCACAACTAATTTCCAAAATATATTTTAATTTCCAAAACATAAGCGCATCGTCGTACCGTTTTAACATTGACGTCCGTTTAAAGTCGTCTCGTGTTTTTATCGTCGCGTGTAGACGGTGTTGTCAGACTTCTAATGCGATCAGCATCGTTTGTTGTCCCAGAGCCGCTTATTGTGTATGCACGATACTGTGGCCCGATTCCTTCAGTCAGTAGGCCAAGTCGGGCGGCACAGCGTGCGTAGGTGAATAGGCCTTATATTGTCATAGGGTTGAAACTTTTTACGTACTTTTAACGCACTTTTACTTTTTATTTTATTAAACATCGAGTCAAGTACTAAATTGCTTACAATTTTTGTCTTATCCTACTGAAAAACAACATTTGTAAATAATTAATATTTAAAATTTTTACATTGTCTTATACATAATTTTTTTCTGTATTTTTTCGTTTAACATTTTCGGGACGGCACCTTTTTCAAAACAATCTACTTTACCGGCTGTAAACTTGATTTCATCGTGTATGTTATGCAATTTGTTTGATAAAAAAATTGTGGTCATTGAAGGACATACATTTATAATATTAATTTATTTTTGATAGTTTTATAAAGAATGGTGACGTTCAAAACAATTTCCAAAATGCATAGCTGGTTGATTTTGACATGTTTTACAATAAAATGTTGTTCGCCGCCTTCCTCCTGGTGCTTTTCTCTCAGAACAGACAATACAATCCCTTTTTCTTTTAGAATTTAGAATATGCCACTGATTAGTCAGTATATTTGGTCATTTTTTTGCTGTCATAATGGTTTATTTTTTTATTATATTGTCTAACAATTTATTTGTAAAATATAAAGTAACATAATCTATTGGATGTCTTATATTGCTTGGTATTTGTAGTCAGGGTGCTTGTTGATGTATGTCAAACTCGATTATTGAAGAAAAATCGGCACATTCGCTAATGTCTTTCCACTCTTCATTTAATTTTAGGGGGTTAAAACTAAACACCAGTTAAGTTAAGGATTTTTTATTCCTTTTTTTATTCTCTATTTTATTTACAAATGTTCAGTTAAGAACATTTAAATTTGGGGAATTTACAATTGTCAGCCGTAAAGGGACATTGTATACTAAATGAACATGTTGAAAAAAACAACTCAATAGTTGTTTTCCCATTTGTTATAATATTAACAATATTTTATTGATAATGATATAATCTCAACTATTTACTCATAAATAATTTCTTATTAGTAATGACTTAGTTTATTTTATTTTTATTGGCCTCACTTACTCGAGCATTTAGCCACCTACATCATTCTATACAATCATATATCCTATACAATCTTCAATTTCATACTATCTAATTCATATAACTCAATTCTTTCTATACTTATCTTCATTCTTCTTTCTTCTTCTTTTAGTATCTTCTTATTTCATCTTCTAAACACTCTACTATACATCTCATTTCATCGTCTAAACTCTTCTTACTTGAATTCATTTTAATTCTAATTCTCTAATTTTTATACATTCTGTTTATTTTTACATACATTTTTACATACTTATTATTACAATTCATAATTTTGTTAAAATTTTAAATTAACTACTAAATATTTTTCAAATTCTTGATGTAGATTCGAACTCAGAACTTCCATTGTGTGTATAGGGAAGGCAAAGTTATTTCAATCTTTATCAGGAAAAATGTTTAAAACAATATTTGACAATAGAGGGAAAAAGATGTATTAACCTGCCATCATCTTGATTCTAACGATATTAATATCGAGAGCAAAACTGCAATGTTTGAACATCCATAACAAAAGTATTTTCTTACGTTTTTTTTGATATTTCGTATTTTCTTTTCTTATTTGTTTTGATTGTGAGCACTATTGTTTAGTTTGCGAGACCTTAAAATATTTTTTTATATACAATTAAATTGCAATCAGAATTTAAGTATGCTAAAGGCTATTGAGATCTACTTGAACTAAAATGTTTTAGTTCATACATATGGTTTGTTTAGGAAACTCTCCAATGAGACCCTTAATTACTTATAGTAAATCAATTGGTTGTTTTTTCTTCAATCTTCTCTTGGTATTCGAAGATTCAGCGATGGATATGACTAAAGCATTTTCGTGGTCAAAATGAGTAATATAATTTTTAAGTATCTGTTATTTAATTGTTTTATAAGTTGTTTTGTTAATTTTAAGTTAGATTCAAAACTTTCTTTTATATTACCTCTATAAAAGCTTATACCTGG